TTCCAAATGTTAATGTATTTCATTATACCATACCAGAAGTCACGTTTGTTACTATTACCAGTGATCTCTGCAGAACAATCTATTAGCATTGCGACACTATCAAAGTGGTAGACACAAGTTTTCTAAGTTATTGCTTGAAAGCTGGAAATTTTATCACAAAAATACTGTCAGCTATTTTCCTTGAAATGTCAAGCTCACTTATTTCTGAGAAAATGTCAGCCAGACGTTCAAGTCTGAATAATTGTAGCTTATTGGTAGTTACGCTAGGTAAAAGCAGCACTCCATTTAAAAAAAAAAAAAAAAAATGGCCAGTTTGGCTTGCAATTAAAAAAAAATTACATATATACTTTTCCTTGAGATAACTTGCAAACAACATACCCAGGATGTAGCAGAAGTGCTTTAAAAGACATTGTATTCAAGATCAAGACTTAATGAAATTAGTAGTTTTGACTGCATCAGTAAGTGTGTTTTTAAGTTAAATTGGCTCTGTAGGTGTGTGAGGGTATGGTGGTGGTTTTTTAGGACAGCTACCACTAGGACAGCTTGATGTTACTGTCTTGATGTGTGCTAAGGAACCAGCAGTATAATCCACCATAGTTTTTATTCCATCACTGTGCATGTCAACACAGTGAAAGAGGCAAATCCTGTCTTAGTATTATTAGGTAAATAATTGTAACCTCCAGTGGACTCCCTGAAAGGGGCTCTAGGACTTCCAGGGGTATCTGTGGACCACCTTTAAAAGTCTCTCTCAGCTCTCCTTCAAGACTTGGAGACCTTAAACTTCCTCTTTTCCATATAATCATTCTTTACTTTTTCTTTTTTTTTTTTTTTGAAACAAAATCTTGCTCTGCCACCCAGGCTGGAGTGCAATGGTGTGATCTCAGCTCACTGCAACCTCCACCCACCGGGTTCAAGTGATTTTCCTGCCTCAGCCTCCAGAGTAGCTGGGACTACAGGTGTGTGCCACCACGCCCGGCTATTTTTTGTATTTTTAGTAGAGACAGGGTTTCACCATGTTGGTCAGTCTGGTCTCAAACTCCTGACCTCGTGATCCACCTGCCTGAGCCTCCCAAAGTGCTGGATTCTTTCCTTTTTTGTAAGTCACGCCCTTCAGTCTACAAAATTAATAATTCTTTATCCAGCTACCCTTCAAGCTATCCTCCTTTTTCCCTTCTGCAAAACTTAAATATAGTTTTGTGTGTTGATGTCCAAGGGGTATTGGGTTCAAGGACCACCCCCCCCACCACAGATACCAAAATCTACAGACATTCTGCAATATTTGCATATAACCTACACATAAGTTCCCCTATACTTTAAATCATCTCTAGATTACCTAAAATACTTAATACAATGTAAATGCTGTGTAAATCATTGTCACATTATATTGTTTAGGGAATCATATGAAAAAGAAAGTCTGTATACATGTTTTGCACAACCCAACCATCCTTTTTTTCCCCCCCTCCCTCAAGTATTTTACATTTGTGTTTGGTTGAATCTGGTCGTCAAACCTATGGATATGGACAGCCAACTGTAGTTTGCTTTTACTATTTCTCTTTCTAATCTGAATTACACTTCAACCCTTTAAAATCTGGTTACTCTCCCCAGTGCTCTAAATTTGTGTTTTTAATATTCCCAGTGACATGCGTAATCTAGTATTTTAATATATGTCTTTACTCAGCAGCATTTGTAGTAGTTGACTATTTGCTTCTGATTTTTCCTTTTTTTTTTTTTTTTGAAACGGAGTCTTGCCCTGTTGCAGGCTGAAGTGCAGTGGTACAATTTCAGTTCACTGTACCCTCCACCTCCCAGATTCACGTAATTCTCCTGCCTTAGCCTTCCAAGCAATTGGGACTACCGGTGTGCACCAGCGCACACAGCTAATTTTTGTCTTTTTAGTGGAGATGGGATTTCACCATATTTGTCAGACTGGTCTTGAACTTCTGACCTCATGATCCACCCGCCTCAGCCTCCCAAACTGCTGGGATTACAGGTGTGAGCTACCACACCTGGCCTGATTTTTCCTTTCTAGGAACTCAGTTAATGTGCTTTTCTCTAATCCTTCTAATTTTTGTCAGTCTCCTTTGCTGACTCAGTCTCTGCTCACTTTTTAATGTCCCAACTTCATCATTTTTCTTCTTCAAGTTCTTATTCACTTTAACTGATGTGTTTTAAGATGATTGAAATTGCTGCCTCTAATCCTAACTCCTGCCCTGAACTCCACACCCTTATCTCCAATTTCTAAAAGTTGCCAAATGTCTACCTCACATTTTTGAAACTGAACTTGGTATCCCTAGAAACAAACACTGCCATTATCTTCCTTGCCAAAACTTCAACAAGCATTAATTAATAGCTATACAACATACTGTGGGAAAACACAGGTACAATACCTGTCAGGCAAGGTAGATGACAAACAAGTAAACAATAACTACAGATTATGCTAAGTACTGGTTGTGCTGGGGGATGAAGAGAGACTACTTAGATAGATTTGTAATGAAATATCACTCTAAGGAATTAACACCTAAACTGAGACCTGAAGGAGAAGGATTTATCTATATGGAGAGTAGAGGAAAGAGCATTTCATGTAGAGAGAACAGTAAGCATCGAAGCTACAGGTCAAGTCCCTGGGATGTTCTAAGGAACTAAGGTCATGGTAGATAATGATGTAAGAGTAAGCAGAGTCAGTTGGATTGGTAGATCTTACAGTGGCCTCTAGACCACGAAAAGGAGTTTGGGTTTTATTTTAATTGCAAGGAGAAGCCATTGAAATATTTTAAGCAGGCTGTGTCAAAATCTGATTTCCATTTCTAAAATATTCTTCTGGCAGCTCTATGGTGAATAGTTGGGTACTGGACAGGAGTGAGGGAGGAATAGGGAGACCTGGTTGGAAACTCTTGACAGTGTTCCATGTGAAAGATTATAGTGGTTTGAACTATAAGGTGGACTGGAGATGGGATGGAAATGAACATGTTCAAGGTACGTTTTGAAGCCTTGAAGCAGGAAGACATTATCTTAGGGTGAAACCTAAAGATAAACTTGAGTTTTCCAGAAAAAGGGTTAGCAGGTGTTCCAAGAGAAGAAACATCATGTACAAAGGGTAAGAGACGAGAGAAAATGATATACCTCAGGACCTGAAAGAAACTCAATGTGCCTAGAATCTAAAAGGGATAATGGCAAAGGGCGAAGTAGGAGGTTCAGCAGAAGCCACATTATACAGGACCAAGTTCAGGGACTTAGACTCTTCTATGTCTGGAGTTCCAATCTGGGCTATACTTGGGAATTACCTGGTTATAACCAGTAATGGAATTCCTGGGAGTAGATGAGATTACTTAGAAAGAATGCATAGAATGCAATGAGCATAGATCCTAAAGCAGCAACCTGGGGAACATTAGTACTTAAAAGGAGTGATATGGAGACAGAAGAACTAGAAAAACAAAAGTTGATAAAAGCCAAGAGACAAAGATTTTGCAGGTTTGTGGACAGCATTTCAGATTGATTCTTTGGGGGATTAAATAAGATAAGACTTGGGAAATAGCCTGTACCGGTCACTGATGAACTTGGGCGAGAATCACTTTGGCACACTCATGCATTGAAAACCAGATTAGTGAGGGTTGAGTAAATTATGAGGTAAGAAGATTGAAACAGGGTATGTAGATGACTAGGTGGTCTTTGGGAGGACAAGAGTGATGGAGTGCTGATTGGAGTTTTTGGTGGAATCTTTAGGTTTTGTTTTGTTTTAATATGTGAGATTTATATGCTTTCTGGCAGAGATTGAAGGTAAAGAGAGGAGGTGGGGTGGAATGGGACCCTCTCCAGTACCCTCTCCATTGCTCTCACCTGGTGAGAGCAAAAAAACTTTTTGCTTTTTTTGAGAAAAACTTTTTTTCTCAAGCAAAAAAACTTCAGAAACAGCTCTAATTTCTTTTGTACCAAGCCTTTGCCCCACTTACACGTCCTAAATAAATCTTATTTTTACCTCAGAAATATTATTCGAATATAGTTTCTCTTCTCCACACTAACGTTGCTTTCATTAGGTCAGCATCATATCTCTATAGGGCTGTTGAAACAACTTCTTGCTGATTCTGTTCCTTTAACCAGTAAGATGATATTACTGTTTTACCAAAAGATCTTTGCTGGTTGAGTCCTGGTTCTTCAGCCCTTTGCTATGTTAACCACTTGTCATCTTTCCTGCTGGCCCTTCCATCCAACCCCCATACTACCCTTTAGCTATGTTAAAATCCCTCTGAATTATAAACATTCTCTCCTCTTGGAAAACCTTTTTGCTTTAATTAAGGTATCTTCTTTAGCTGAATTACATTTATTGACCTTTGCCTCTCCAGCAAATTCCTGTTCAAGATGAACCTGGAAGTTATCTGTTATGATAGAATAGAGCATGCCTTTCTGTATACACAACACACTGCATTCTTCTGTTACAACATTAGTTTATTCCTTTATCTTAGTAATTATCTGTTGGTATATCTCTCTTCACTTGGACTAGTGGCTCCTCCCGACCAGAGACTATGGCTTCCAGGCATATATCCCAGATGATTGGCATAGCATCAGATGTTAAGTAACCTGAACTGATTTGGCTGAATGACTGAAGAGTAACAATTAATGGAATTGATAGATTCTTAGCATTGTGAAATTGGAATTGATTATTTTAATGAGAACACTGAGGTCCAAGCAGGTGAAATGATCTTTATAAGGTTATCCAGATGGTAACCGGGTTCTCCTAACTTCTGACCCAGGGCCCTCTAAAGAACTTCCACTAGCTGCTGTTAGTCCATGCTGATTGAGTAATATTTAAATTAAGATAAAGCTATAAAAACACATGTACTGTCTACAATGCCATTTAATTTTTTGCTTTTGGAATATAACTGAAAGATTGAAATGATAGAATGATATTATATGTAAAGAGTCCTAAAAATTGTTAGAATTTAGTAGACTAGCCTTCCTTAGATGAAAAGTCAGATTTAGTGTCATTTTACTAAAGTCCATACTTTATCCCCCTAGAGGAGTTTCTGGGTACAAAATTGTATGGATATATTTGCATTTGGGGGTGGGGGAGCATAGTTTCCACAGATGCTCTGCACCTCATGACTTCAAGTTATTTTGCTGTTGTGATAAGTGATCATTCTCAAAGCAAAGTACATGAAAGATTCTTTTAGCTGTTACTTGAATTAAATGTTTAATCTTTGCTACTTGCTTTCATTTTTAGGGTTTGTGTTTAGTGAATCAGAGGGATCTGCATTAGAACAGTTTGAAGGTGGCCCCTGTGCTGTTATTGCACCTGTTCAGGTAACATAGACTCCTTTACCAGCTCCTTAGAGGGACATGTTGAAATGTTTCATACTTTTTGTTTTCGAATGTCTGTATTCCATATAGTAATTATGAGACATGATCAGTTAACTCTTAACTTTTGCTCACATAAATTACAATAAATATCCAAAATAAAAATGAATTCAGAATATTGATGAATTGCACAACAGTAGCCTTTTGGCTACATTTTCAAAGAAAAAGAGGCATCCCCTGACTTTGAGAAAATTAGGAAGTTTCTTGACATCTTTAATACAGAGTTCCTATTTAGTAATAACGTGTTATACTCTAGATAGGTACAGTCACAGTAATTGTACTATTTTCATTTGTTCAGTCTATAAACGTCATTTTTATAGACTGAAAAAAGTTGATGATTTCATACTTTTATGGCCTGTAACTTTAAAATTTTGAATTAAGTTGGCAGTGTATACTATTTTATGCTATAGCTTTGGCTTTTCTAAATAATTTGTAACAACTGATTTCAAACAATTTCAAAACCAAAAAGTTTTTTTGTTTGCACAAAACATAGAATTTATCGGAATGTCTTTATTTGATTTGGAATCTTGTTGTGTTATATTGTTTGAATTTCAAAGGCTAATTCACTATAAACTGTTGCATTGTTGAAATCAATAATTGAATTTTCAGTTTACTATAGTATTGATGATGTCTGTGAATAACAGTGTAACTTTAGAACTGTTATAAAATTTACAGCTAATTTACTGTTTATGTTTTAGCCATCGTGTTTTGAAAATACATATTTAATGTGGCATTTATTCATTGGATACAGAGTAATAAGATACAAAGTATATACAAAAATAAGGTAATTTGGCTACAAAGTAAATTTGTTTCTCAGAACTCATAATCTATATACTTAAAGTGTTAAAAGTGTATTTATGTAAAGGAAAAAAATCTTTTATGGTTGATTCCAAAATATGTCTTTCATAGATCATTATTTTTTTAAGTTGATTTTTTTGCATTAGGAGTTTTTTTTAAATAAAGAAAAATTTGAATATCCAAATCTTGCCTTGAAATTATGGAATGTGAAGAATGAAATTTAACTATAAATTAGCAATTATAGCTGTTGTGCTGAGTAACTGAAACAAATTTCAGTTGTCAGTAGGAATGTTATCTGAATTTGAAGACTCCTTGTTATGTCCATATATAAATTAGATTATATAAATACTGCCTTTCTTGGTCAGTAATAGCAGGGTTTTTATTGGAAATCCATGAATGTAATTAAATGGAGGATATACCACAGGAGTTTCTTGTTTTATAAAATGCAGTATATTTCAGTGGTGGTAGTTACTTGTGCAAGTGGGGTGCTGTGTGATAATGGTAATATTTAAAATCCTGATCCTACCTTTCTATATCTTTGAGGTAGTAGTTTAAGAATCACATAGCCAAGGCACAGTGGCTCACACCTATAATCCCAGCACTCGGGGAGGCTGAGGCAGGAGGATTGCTTAAGGCCAAGAGTTCAAAACCAGGCTGGGCAACACAGTGAGACCCCTGCTCTTAAAAAAAAAAAAAAAAATAGAAAATTGAAAATTGAAAATTAGCTGAGCATGGTCGGGCATGCCTGTAGTCCTAGCTCCTCAGGAGGCTAGACGGGAGGGTCCTTTGAGCTCAGGAGTTCAGGGCTGCAGTGAGCTATGATTATGCCACTGCCTTCCAGTCTTGGTGATAGAGTGAGACCCCGTTTCTAAAAAGGGAAAAAAAGAGTCACATAAACTTTGTAAAGAATTTTGTTTGTATTAATATTTCAGTTTAAAAGTCAAAACTAAGTTATTAAGAATGACCACAAGTGAGCAGGTACATATATTAAAACTTTTTTAGAGTATAAGAATTAGAACATGATGCTGTATAAGAAGAATAGGCAAAATAATGGAACCAAATTGATAATACAATCATAGACCTCATCACCTGTAACAATTTACCAGAAATTTGTTACACCAAGAATGAAGAAGGAACTAAGATCAGTGGTGAAATAAAGTTTCATAAATGTCATCCCCATGACTTGCTAGCACTTTGAGGGGAAGATAAGTTTAGATCATTTTGTACCATATGTCAAATGTATTCTTGGAATAATATTTAACCATAAGAAAACTTAAAATTAACGTAACATCAACACTATAAGAGAAACAGTACCTCGAAACTGAGAAATATTTGCAGTAAATATTATCAATAAAAGGTTGTTGTCTTTCTCATATAAAGAACTTGTAGAAATTGATTAGAAAAACATGGGGGTGAAATGGGCATAGATGTGCAGTCATAACATGTGGAATGATGCTTTACAGCAAAAGAATCAGGATGCTCACCCTCAGTAGGAAGCCAGGAAAGTAAAAATAAAACTGTAACTAGATTCTATTTCTTACTTTTTCTCATCTTTAAAAATAAAATTACAATTGCCAGTGCATGTAAGGGTGGGATGATGCTGGCACACTCTATTCTGCCATGTAGTACAAATTTGTACTTTGATTTCGGGAAGGAATTTTAAATTATAATTGGAACCATGACAATGCAGATTCTGAGGCAACAGCAGTATTTCTGTGAGTCTTTTCTAAAGAAATCTTTAATATGGAAAAATCGTATTTAAGACGGAGCTTATATATTAAAGTAGCAAAAAAAAATTGTAAGCAATATCTAATGCACAGTAATATAATTTAATAGGTAATTAGAATTTGGTAAATAGCTTGATAGACAAGTAGTAAGAATTATACTTATGAATTCTATAGAAAAACAAAATATTCATATACCCATTCTGATTTTTCACTTGTAATAAAATTAAAACTAGGTATAAAAAAAGATGGGAAGGAAGTATATCCAAATGCTAATAGTAATTATATTGGTGGTGAAATAATGAATGTCCCCATCTCACTTTCAAAACTTTGTGATGTAGTTATACTGTTTCACTTTATGGTTGTTGTCATTTTCCCCATTTTGTTTTTATGGTTGTTTTCCCCATTTTGGGGAAAAATGGGAAGTACTTGATTACAGTATTTGTAGATTGTATGCCTATGTAAATGGAATATTAGTTTTTCGTTGTAATACCTTAAATTGTTTATTGGTGCCAGGTACTATGCTAAGTGTATTACATAGATATTCTCATATAATCCTTACTGCAACCTTTTAAATTTTGTACAGTTATTTTTAGTTAGTAATAGTGGAGCCAAGATTCAAACCTAAGTTTGCCTGATAAAAATCAGTCTTCCTAATCTGTACACTAGTACTTTCAAACACAGGTGAGGTCATCATTGTAATCTGTTTTTCTTTGACCTGCCCTCAGATAGAATAGGTGGAGCCCAAGAATCTGCAGTTTAAACAAACAAGTCAGGTGACTGGGATGTAGCTACCATTGAACTACACTTTGAGAAGGAGGCACTTTGCTGTGTAGCTTTTTGTCAACCAACCAGTGTAACATAGTTGACTCACTTAAGGGGAAGTTTAGAAATCCATTTGTCTTTTTTTTTAATCATGTAGCTTTTTGAGTTAAATTTGAGCTCCTGATAATAAAGTGAAGACTTTAATTGTGTTATTCTTGTATCACAGATGAGAGTTAAGGGAACAGAACTACTTTTATATTTAGATCTCTTTTACCAGAAGGAATCTAACTGAAATGTAGACTTACTCTTGTTCTACATAGCTTTCATTTTGTGAATAGAGCATTAAGTGTCTGTGCTTTCCAGTTGCATTCTGTTATTTGAGTGAGTTCTACTTGTCAGAAAATAAGTATTGTGGAAGAAAAATAGTTTTATGGATTTAAAATCAAGTTGATAGTGGTATACTCTGAGTAAATAAATCTGCACAGTTCCTGTCAAATGTGAGAGAAGCTCATTTGACATCTTTACAGAACTATGCAAAAGATTAGAAAGGGGGTACAAATTAGTTTTTCCCATTTTAAAATTGAAGAATGATATGATGTATGCTTATATTGCAGTTCACTAATTATTGCTTTAATTGTGTAAAGGCATTTCTTTTGAAGAAGCTCCTGTTTTCTTCTGAGAAGTCTTCTTGGCGGGATTGTTCAGGTATGATAGCTGTCTTTTAAAACTTTTACTTCATCCTCTGTTTTAATACAGATGGTCTGTGCAGTGTTCATTGGCAATAGTTTAATTAAAATTATCTGAGAAAGTTAAGTATCAGTGGGATTTTATTTTCCCCTGAGGTTTCCTTCTAAAATGTTTTTAGGAAGCTTCATAAACAGTGACTCCATATTTCTAAATTTGGTTTTCTAACCAAGGGTGGTAAGACAGGATTGTGTAACTAAGGGAAAAACCTTGGCCTCTTGCTAAAACATGGTGCATTTCCTAGAACTGTTAGGTGACAGCATACCATAAAGAATAGTCTTTTTTTTTTGGTTTTATTTATCTGTGAGCAAGACTTCAGAATTCTCATTGCATTCCTGCATATTTCAGTATAATGACTTACACAATGCAAATACTGCAAATAATTTGGATGAAACTGCAAATGAAGCTGTCATAACCTCTGTAACATGAGCTTCTGTACCTAGAGAGATGTGTGGTGCCACCTTATAATAACAAGAATTTGCATTCCACTTGCCAGTTTACAAAGATCTCTCCTACACAATTTCATATGAACCTCACAATAACTTCTGGAAGAAGGTGGGGCATATTACAATCCCAGTTTTGTATCTGAGGACATAACTGAGCTTACATACCAAACAGCAACTGTAGAATATACTAATGATTTTGGATTTAAGAGTTAAGGTATCATTTTCATAATTTTTAATAGGTGAAATACAAAATGAA